CAGGCACTGTTTTAAGCACTGGGATACCACCGTGCACAAGCAGACAAGGCCCCTGGTTTCACTGGAGCTTGCAGTCCGGACGGGGAGACAGACAATGTGGAAATAAGCAAGAAAATTGCAGAGAGCAGCATAGGCTGCGCAGGAAAGAAAATGAAGACAAGATAGAGAGACTGGGAGTGGAGGGTTAGACTAGGGTCACTCCTCGGTGACATTTGAGTTGAGACCTAGAAGCCAAGAAGTGGGCACGCAGGGAATGTTTGTTGATGGTGACTGAGACAAGTCAAAATGAAAAAGGCTTATTCCAGAGTTCATCTGGCAAAGCGCTTAAAGAGTGTCCACTGTATGCTGGGTCTGGTGGCCAAGAAAGCAGACATGGTCCCTGTGCTGAGAGCTTACAGTCTAATAAGAGAGAAAAACATTATATAAGACAATATGCAGGCCAGGCGTGGTGGCTCACGCCTGTAATCCTAGCACTCTGGGAGGCCGAGGTGGGCGGATTGCTCGAGGTCAGGAGTTTGAAACCAGCCTGAGCAAGAGCGAGACTCTGTCCCTACTATAAATAGAAAGAAATTAATTGGCCAACTAATATATAGAAAAAAATTAGCCGGGCATGGTGGTGCATGCCTGTAGTCCCAGCTACTTGGGAGGCTGAGGCAGCAGGATGGCTTGAGCCCAGGAGTTTGAGGTTGCTGTGAGCTATGCGAAGGCATTTCCACTCTTCTTGGAGAACATGAGAACCCCTCCCTTTAGGGAGCACACTGGATTTCCATGCATTTTTTAAAAATAAACTTTTTATTTTAAGAGCAGTTAGATTTATAAAATTATTACAAAGTTAGCAAGAGTTCTCAACATACCCCACATCCAGTTCCCCCTATTATTAACATCTTACATTGTAGGGTACGTCTGTCACAATTATGAATTAACATCGGTGTTATTATCCACTACAGCCCATCCTTTATTCGCACACCCTCAGTCTTCACCTCATGTCCACTTCCTAGTCCAGGATCCCGCCCAGGACCCCACACCACATTTGGTCACATCTCCTTAGGCTCCACCTGGGTGTGACAGGTGCTCAGAGTTTCCTGGCTTTGGATGAGCGCCAGTCAGGTGTTTTGTAGGATGCCCCTCAACTAGACCTTGTCTTATGTTTTTCTCATGATGAGACTGGGGTTGTGGGTGTGGGCAGGAGACCACAGAGGTAAAGTGTCATTTTCATCCCATCACATCAAGGGTGATAACCTCGGTCACCTGGCTGAGGTGGTGTTTGTCATATTTCTCCACTGTCAAGCCCCCCTCTCTTCCCATATTGTACTCTTTAGAAGGAAGTCACCATGCATGGCCACATTTAAGAAGTGGGGATTTTTGCTTCAACTCTTTGAGCACAGAGTATACAAATTATTTGGAATTCCTATGCACAGGAGATTTGTCTGTTCTCCGATTTTTAGGTATTTTTACCGATATTTACATGCTAGGTCTTTGTACTTTTTAAAAGTTCAAGAACCCTGTTGGTATTTCTAGGGACCTAGAGATATTTTAGTTCAATTAATTAACAAAATGCATTTAATTACCAAGACATCAAATAAGAAGGTAGGAAAAAGCCAGTAATTATTTTATTTTCCTATTGTGAACACATATGAATGAAAAAAGGTTTGGAAAATGCCAAAAGCAGAAAGAAGAAATTCTCTAATCCAACTGTTCATTGCTGACCACTATTCGTATTTCAATTTATTATCTTTGGGGTTTTTTTTCCTGCCAATCTAGAAGCTATCAACTTATTATCCTTGATTTTTCTTCTGTGCAAAATTTTTAAACACAAAATACTGTATATATCATTTTGTTTCTTGCCTCTTTCCACCTTTTCTTTTTCTTTTCTTTTTTTTTTTGCTTATTATCACATCAAAAACATTTCCCCCATGTAACTACACTGACTTCCTTACCATTATTCTCAATAGAGGCTAAATGTCCCCCCACGTGGCTTTTAGTGTCCCCTCCCCCACAGGCTATGTGCTAGCACGATGCCTGGCACATAGTCGGCATTTAGAAATTATTGGTTAAATGAATGAATATGCAACACAGTAATCATTCCCTTGTTTTTAGAAAGGTAGGTCATTTTCCTTTTTCTTGATTCTAAATAGTTCTGAGACAAATAGAATTATCCCCTTAGGACAGCATCCCAGAGTGGAATTACTGGGCCAACGGGGGCCAAAAATTTTTCAAGATAAATGCACCAAACCAGAAATCTTCCCTCTGCACCACTGGCAATTGTGCCCAGGGTAATAATTTACAATTGATTAAAGAGTTTGTGGGGTGTTTTTTTCCCATCTTTTTTCTCCCTCCTCTCCCTCTCCCCTCCTGCCAAAAAGGGGGGAAATTATCTGAAAAGGTGAAGATGTTCTCAGACAATCATATTAACATATTCCAACAATCACAATTTGCAAAATAGTAATCACAACTCCCGGGATCTGGGAGGCATTAATCAAAGCTGCAGGTTTAATTCCATTTTAAATATTGATGAAATGTGCTTCGGCAGCCTCACCCTGGCGTGGCAGGGCCAGGGGAGCTGCGGAGAGGCGCAGGGGAGGTGGAGGGAGGGTCGGTGAGCAGCTGCCGGGAGGGGAGGCATCTGTGATTCAAATTGGTGGCTGTGCAGCCAGGTAGAGAGTGAAAGGGGTAGTGAAGAGGGCTGTTAAGTCCATTGCTGTCAATTTTTAACGATCAGGGAGGGGCCTGAGGACTGGTTCAGCACAATAAACCCAGTTTGTCTGGTTTCAGGGGTTACCGCTGAAGAGGTTGCAGCTGCACTGATTCGAATAGCCTGGAGACTTCAGAACTGTAATTATCAACCAGGCTGCTCACAGTGTGGCAAAAGTGGGCTCCACCAGCGCTTAACTCCTTGTGTGCTGACACATCACCGCTGCTCTCCCCACCCCTGGGTTTCCCAGCCTCAGTGGGGACTCCCAGGCAGCCTCCCCAGGGGAAACTGAGGCCCACCGGCTGCTCGCCAGAGCATGCCAGATAGCAAGCCTTTTTCCTTAGGTCACATGGAAAGAAATGGGGGGAGCCGGCTAGTTATGTGGGGCCTGCCACGGCTCCCGGCGTGCTCACGTCTGCCCTGGGTGAGAAGTCAGGCGCAGAGCCTGATGAAGCTTGGTTTGAATTCCGCTGGCCACGGACCTAGGACAAGGCTGATCCCCTTTATAAAATGGGGGTGACCTCCCCTATCCTACTGGGCTGTTACAAAGATCCAGCGAGACGCAGTGTCTATAAAGCAATGAGCACACAGTAGGCTGTTGATTGAAGAACCTCCATCTCCCTGCCCCTGGGTCCCATGCCTTTTGCAGAGGAAGGCATCTCTGGCAGGGGGTCTTTACAGGGCAGGCTTTCGGCTGCCCCTCTGTGTTTCAGCTCTCAGGGAGTCTCCTCGTTCCCCAGCTCCTGCCATTTGTCACCACGGAGGGTGGGTAGTCCCATCCTCTCATCTCTGGGCTGGGCACAGGGTAAGGAGAGAGGCAGGGATCCCCCAAGTGCTGCAGCCCTGGCGAGGGCAGGGGTTGGCACAGAGAGAAGGGAGGCATGAAGGAATGAAGGATTGAAGGAATGAAGGCAGACAGGCAGGGAGGCAGGGAGGCAGTGTGGTGTGAAAAGAGCACAGGCAGGTGGGAAGACGGCGACTGAAGGACGTGCAGGACTTGGTGACCCTTCTCCTGGGAGGAATATAACCCCAGAGAAATCCTCCTGAGTATCCGCGAAGGGATGTTCCCAGGAACGCCTGTCCCGGCGTTGCTCCCGGCAGTGGGGAGCTGCAGCAACCTCCTCGTCCTCCACTGGCAGGACACAGAGCAAAATGTGACGGGAGCCAACCTCGGAATATTAGGCAGCAGTAAGAAGCAAAGGACTGGATGTACATGTAGCAACAAGAATAGATCTTGATTTAATCACATTGCAATATACCAAGAGATTTTCAAAAAAGAATAGATCTTGAAAACGTCATGCTGAGTGAAAAAAAGTAAGACACAATGAAATCCACAGCACAATGCCATTTATGTAAATTAAAAACACATTGGTCCACAAAACAACAGGGCATATTTCACAGAGCTACATGCATTTTTAGGGGTATATATCCCACCATTTGACTGAGTCCCTGTTGTGGTGGGGGAGGGGCTGGGTGTGGGTTTGGAAGAAAAAGGGAGAAAAATAAAGTAAATCCTCAGAGGGGTCTTGCACAGAAAGATGATGGTGGTGTGCTGTGTGCTGTGGACTGAAGAACACGATTCACTCGACTCTGCATTTGAGGTTTAAAAACCAGCAGGGGCTTTGTAGTTGACAGTCCCGGGTTCGAACCCCGGGCTCCCCGAACACTGACCATGTGGCCATGGACAAATGCCTCCATCTCCGTGAGCCTCTGTTTGTTCAACGGAGGCTGGTGGGGGAGACTTGTCTGCCCGGTGGTCACAGGATTAAACTAAGGGAGACGCTACGTTTGGGGCCTTCAGGGCCACACCAGCAAGCTCCTGCCACCTCCACTCCACTCCCCACTGACAGGGCCTACGGAAACAGAAGGTGTCGCCCCCTGGGGACACCCCAGGTTCTTTGAAGGGTCAAAAATGGAGAGCCCAGAAGGGAAAAGAAAATCTGAAGATTCTGTCTCCTAGCACCACCCGCAAGGCCTGCCCCGCTGCCCCGGGGCTGCCATTTGTGGACCATGGAACAGGGCAAGCACCGAGTGTGAGGCTGCTGCTCCCGGGCTGCCTGTCCAACTCGGGGCGGCCAGACGACCTCATGCTGCCTCCGTCAGCACCAACTCCCCCAAGACCAGGCGCACTGAGGGATTAGGTTTAGATGAGAGGTCTGTTCCTCCCACACAGAGCTAAACAGCCTGGCCAGCAGACCAGCACCTGTGCTGGAACCCACCCCAGTCCAAGGCCTCACCTGGGGACTCCCGTGGCAGGGATGGCCCCAGCAAGCACCCAACATGACCAGCTCTTCCTCTTTCCTTGCAGATGACGATGAGCATGAGTGGATTGTCCGTACCTGTCGGAGGGGCTAGGACGAGATCGTGGGTCACAGGCCCAAGCTGTGAACGCTGCAGCTGCCCCCACCGGACCCGAGGTCTCCATCTGCCCTGCTGGCATTGGCTAGCCCAGGGGTGGAGGCAGGGGTGTGTATGTGTAGTTCTAGAACCTGGCTTTCGACTCAGGAATAAAGAAAGGCATTCTGCAGTCAGCCCCCCTTAGCAGACTGTTTCTCAGTTGGTATCCTCATTTCACTGCATCAGAACCGCCTGGCCAAAATCGTGGACTACAGATACTCCCGGGCCCCACCCTAAACCCGCTAATCAGGACCTCTGGGAATGGAGCCTTGCAGACTCCAGGTATTTGCATGCCCAGGTATTTCTTATGCATATGAAAATTTGAGAACAATCGTCTTATAGTAATAGATATATATGAGCGAATGAGCAACGAACGTGCAGGCAGCGTGTGAGCCTCATCTCTGCTCCTCACAACAGCCCACAAGGGAAGGCCAAGATTTTGCAGATGGGGAATCTGAGGTTCAGAGATACAGAGGGACTTGTGTGGTCTCAGAGGGCTGTAGGACCTGACCACTGTGCCCAGACTCCTGGCTGGTACCTTCCTACAGCCCAAGAATGCTTACTGGGAACCACCTTTCCTTCCAGGCAGCTCCTCCATCTGAGCCTCAGGCACTAAGCACAGAATCAGCATGGCGCCATAGAAACAATGTGGCTTTGGCATCAGACACACCTGGGTTCAAATCCCAGCTCAACCACAGGTATCATGTAACCTTGGACAAGTCACTCTCTAAGCCTCAGTTTCCTCATCTATAAAATGGTTCTAACGATGTTTAAAACAATAGAGTAGCTGTGTGATTTGAATGAGAGAATTTAAGTAAAGGATCTCCCACTTAGCAGGTACTTAATATGTGTTTGCTTTAAAGAACAATTTGTTAGCTGTGCATATAATCATTCCTTAAAATTGCCCCAGAGATGATGTTTGTCCGCTGAAAACCAACAGAGGAAGCAGCATCCTGTTCCAGGGCCACACTCGGGCCACAGCATCCTGGATCTTTATAGAGGCTGCTAGATCACGCGTGAGTCAGGTTCTAGGGTGGGGGCTCCACTGAGGTCTGCAGGGGGAGGAAACTGGACCTTAAACTGGAGACCCAGGGTGTTGTGCTGGTACAGAGCCAGGAGCCAGAGGGAGGCTGGGCCCACCCCCAGCTGAGACTTGGGAGAACCACCTCTCCCCCTGAGGCTCCAGTCACCTTGATGCAAGGAGAGGTTGAGCACCACCAGTGATTTCCAAACAGGTTTGAAAACAGAAGGTACATTCATGAAAAGACTAAACTTATCTATTTTCAAAGATATACATCCATCCAAGTCAATATACGAAAAATGGATTGGAAAAGTAGAGTGGGAATGGACAGAAATGGAGTCAGCAATGGAGAACAAAAAAACTAACAGAATAGAGAGGCAGAGTTGGGGCCCGTGTGCACCCTGAGCTGAGGTTTACAAGCAGCTCATTTCTGGGCAGGGCCACAGGGCTGGGGAAGCCTCCATACCCTCCCCACACCCGGCGCTTTGGTTTGAACAAATGATTTTGCTGCTGAAAGAAAACTTGACAACCACCAGAAAGATGCTCTCTCTCACTCTCCGAATTGCATGGTGGCTCTGGAACCTGGCCAAGCCACTCTGAGACCCAGTCTTGTGCAGGAGCTGGGGCCCTGTCACCCATCCCATGTTCCCTTAGCTTCGCCTTATTAAATTCTTCCCCATCTTCCAAGCAGGGAGGCTCGACGGTGCCTCCCTCCCTGCCCCACCCCCAACACCCTCCTCTTTTGTACCATTCTGTGAACTTCTCGTCTGATAGGATTCAGCTCAAATGCATCCCCCTTTAGCCCTGGCAGCATGTTGGAGAGACGTCTTTTTACAGCATTTGTCAGACTGAGAGCTCCTCTAGCGCAGGGTCTGGCTGGGACCCTTCTCTGAGTCTGCAGAGCCAGCCTAGGGCCCAGCTGAGAGTGTGTTCAGGGAACGGAACAGAAGACGGCAACTGGCCTGATTTCCTACAAAGCTCAGCTAAGAGGCAGGTGTGACCCAGTACTTGGAGAAGAAACCCATCATCATGCCTTTACGATGCAGTTTACTAACTGGGCGATGGTACCAATTTTCCAGGAATGGGGATTGCACCGTCCAGCAGCCCAGATATTCTGGGAGCCAGGGACCTAAGCCTTTAACCAGAGCAGGAAAGAAATGGAATCCCATCATGTCTGGATTTAAGTGCCAGCACTTCTACTTGCATTAACTTTATTACACAAATAAGACATTTACAAAGCACGACATGAAAGGTATGTAACAAAACAGACATTGGTTTTACAAAAAAGTGCTTACAATTTTTTTCCGTGTGTTTTCCCCTTTTGTTTTGTATTTAAATAAATAGTCTCGATGGCCTGTATGTTCCCAGGCTGCTCTTAACAGGATAGTGGAGACATGTTTGAACTGTAACATGCTACGGCCACGTGATCCACGCAAGGAATAGACCCTGGGAGGAGACTCAAGGCAGAGTGGGTGTTGGGTGACCCTGGGCAGGGCTAGGCTGGCCACTTACCACGTGGTTGCCATTGGGCTTTGATCATCAGAAGCAACAGTCAAAAGAAAGACGTGTGCTCCCCACGGCCAGGCCTGGTTGCTCCTGTTAATGCCAGTGCCTAGCACAGGGCTGGGCACATGTTACCACTGGACGAGTTCTGAACTGAGCTGTACTCACCATGTGTTGGGTGGTGCCTTCTCTTTGCCCTTACTCAGCTGTAACCATTTTTGGAAGGGGAGGAAGCAGGTTCCCTTCTTGGGCTGCACCTGTGCCTGTGCCTGCCCCAGGTCCCAGAGCAAGAATGACATATAGGTTTTCATTTTGAGTGCCAATGTCAAGCATTTGGATTCTGAAACCTCATCCAGACTCAGTGAAATAGAGCTGCCATGGGTCAGCGATGTCTGCCATGGGTAAAAACAGGGACAATGGCTGTATAGGTACCATGAACTTGCTTTCCCTGTCCTAGCATCTCCTTCCAAAAGCAACATAACAGGTTAACCACAGCAGGAAGGAGGACTTGGACTAAAACATGCTTACTAGCAACCTCTAGTGGAAAATGCACCAGGACACCGAGTAGTTCTGGAATTACGGGATAAGCTTGGGACAAATGGGCGTCCCCTAAAAACATAAATCATGGTTGTGTGTAGCCTGAGCCCTTTTGTTTGGGGTGGAAGAGTTGTTGCAGGATGGGGTGAAGTGAATGTGGCTGTGTCTGGCCTCTGTTCTCAGGAGTGTATGTGGCTGGCTTGGCAGGGCTGGTGGGGAAGCTCAGAAGTGCCAGCTGGAATCCTAGACTTGGCACACTCACCTAGGCAATGAGCACTGTGTCTCCACTCAGAGATGGATCCCTAGTTAACATTCTGACTGCCATTTCACTGGGCTCTGTTCCCTGGTCCCCCTCTAAGTGATCCCCCCAGAGAAGACCTGGCCCAGCCATCTCTACCAGGGGTCAAGAAGTAGCCAACAAGGGTCCCCAACTCTAACTGCCCCAACATTCAAAACAGTCATCACGCCAATCAAATTCCATCTTTGCTATGTTCCCTGCCTATATGCTAGATGATGGGGGGCAGGGACTCCCTCCACCCCAAGTTTTCTCTTTCCTCTCCTTAGAATGCTAGTGTCACTCCCAGTCCAGTGTCCCACGTTCCTGCGCTTGATCTCAAGACCAGGGGGGTCTTTGTCTCCCCTCACCCCCCGTCCCCCGCTTCTCCGTCTGGGCAGGTCTCCATCTCTGCCCTGTCGGGCCTCTCAGGGTTGGTCAGTGTCTCTTCTCTTTCTGAATTAACTTGACATAACCAGACAGATGGAAATGATAAAATTAGAACATAGCTTTCCTTTGGGGATATCCCACAAACACTGTAGAGTTTTCCAGACAAAAGCAACAGAGTGGATAACATTGGGGGTTGTCAGCTATTCAGAATTCAGAGATGGTTCCAAGGAAGTAGTAAATAAAGGCCAATATGGGGGGAAGAAAACCTGTAAATTAGAAGGCTGTTGGCGTCGCACAGTTCAATTCCGCTTTTTGCTATTGTAATCAGCTTAAGCTGAAGATGACTTCTGTTTAAATGGAAAAAACAGGCTGTTGTTTTCACCCTGATTCCAAATTTCAGGGAGTTCTGCCTTCCAAGAGGAGGACTCTGTGGAGCTCCTGGCGGGTTCTCAGCAGGAGAGGGAAGGGCCGGGCCTGGAGGGCTGAGCTGGTGGTGGGCAGGATGGCGGATGGGGGTGGATGCGGAGGCGGGCGGATCCCTGGCCGCAGCTTGGACACTGGAGCTCAGCGGCTGAGGGGCAGCTGTGGGGTGCCCACGGACAGAGGCGGGAGTGCCGGCAGCGTCAGTACTGAAAAAGGATGACCTGCAAGAGGAGGGCATGGGAGGTGGCTGAGCTGGGGGCCTGCCCCACCCCGCAGCCCCCCAGAGGACCTTGAAGGCATGGAGAACAAGGGTGGGCTCGGGGCCCAGAACTGGGTTTAAATCCTGGCACTCTCAGCGTATTTGCTGTGGGACCTTGGGCAACTCACTTCACCTCTCTGAGCCTGTTTCCTCATCTGTAAAATGGGGATGCCAAAACCTCTCTCTCTCAGAATCAGGAAGATTCAGTGAGATACAATGGCAGCAGCAAAAGTCTACTGGGCACTATTTCACTGAAGCTGCACCTCAACCTTTTGAGGGGGTCCCGCCATTATCTCTATTTCATGGGTGCCACAGCTCGGAGAGGAGGGAATGAGTGAGCCCATGATCACACAGCCTAGGAAGGGGGCCCCAGCACTGGAGGCCAGTCCAAGCTCTCTTTGCCATGGCACATTGCTTCTGCCACTCCAAGGCCACCATTACTACGACCAGTGGCTGACTGCTTACCTCGACCAGGCAATGGGCTAAGCCCCTGTGTGCACGTAATGTTCACAGAGCCGAGAGGCATGTGGCTCAGACATGCCAGGTGCCTGACACACAGTGGGAATCAGGACCATCTGCCCCTCTCCCACTCCCTCTCCCACCTTAAGCGCCTGACTGGCATCTCCCTGCTGCTGACACAGCCTGTTCAGGTCCCTGAAGTTCAGGTCAAGGATTACTGGCTAGCTGGTCAGTGGGATGTGCCTTTTCACAGTAAAGTGTGGGAGGAGGTTTCCAGTGGTCCAGGGACATATGGTGGGCATGGCTACATGCTGTTCCCTTTTCTGATCAGGAATGTTACTTGCCCAGAATCAGGTACCACGAGGAGGTGATGGAGGAAAGCAATGATGACGATCTCCGTAATAGTAACCACAATAATAACCAACACCTGCAGAGCACTTCTTGGGTGCCAGGCACTGCGCTAGGCTCTTTACACAAGTTATTGCATTTACTATCCATAGCAACCCTAGGTGGTGGGAACTATTATAACCCCCATTTTTCATATGCAGAAACTGAGGCTCAGCGTAGCTAATTGTGACCCCAGGTCTCACAGGGACAAGGAGGCAGAGCTGGGACTCAGAGTCAGCCTGACTCCAGAGCTCACACTGCATTTCCTCCCCACGTGGGCACTGCTCCACTGTGGCCTCCAGGACGCCTCGCTTTGGGCTCTTATCAAGAGAAGGTCTCTGAAGAGTGATGACCGTGGTAAGACCCTTCTCCTCCATGGGTCTCAGTCTCTCCCACTGATCAATGACAACTTGGTGCAGATTTTTAAGAACATTTCAAATGCTGAAGTTGTGGGATCAGGGGACACAACCAGGAAGAAATGTGATTCTGGAAACTCACAGGTGTGTGTGGCCAAGTGAGGATGTGGTGGAGGCAGAGGATGCCCCCTGTGAGTGCTCAGAGCACTGTTCTGGCCAGGCCAGCGCTGGTCTAGGTGAACGGGTTCAGTGGCCATCCCCAGGGGGACCCTGGGTCTCCTCATGCCTAGGCTGGCTCAGGCCTATAGGGGCTTGGGAGAAAGCCCACACAGTCCTGTGCTGACCACACACAGCCTGCACCCTGCAGCCCACCAGGCCCCATGGGTTTGACAACATGTGGACAGGAAAGGTCCCTGGGAGCTGGTGGAAAGGCCTGACAGTGAGAGGGCAGGAGGTCATGAAGGAGGAAGTGACACTTTAATGCAGAGCTTCTGGATGCAAAGTTGGGGATATCGCCCAGCAAGAGAACTCTGGCTCAGCAGTCAAACTCAGGGTCCAGAAACTTTCTATAGCCAAAGCTGCCAGACCCCAGCTTGGCTCATCCTTCAGTCTGAACCAGACAAAACCACAAGCTTAGCTGAGCAACCAGGAGGCAAGGGCTCCTATCCAAGCACTGAGCCCAGCCATACACATTTCCAAGGCCCACTCCCTGCCCTGCATAGAATGCCCATGCCCCTCACTTGATGGTCCAGGCCCTTCAATATGTGGCCCCTGTCAGCTCCCCCAACCTCCCTGGAGCAGGGATCATGCCAGCTCGCTTTTGCAGTCCCAGGGCCAGGCCCAACAGGACAAATGCCCTCCTACAGGAAGGGGGTGGCCCTGAGGCAGGCGGTCCTAGGATATGGGCCAGCTCTGCCTATGCTCACCGTGGGCCCCTGGATGAGCACTGCTGTCTGAGCCTCAGTTTCTGCAGGTGTGAAATATAACTCATCACACTCATCCTCCTGGGAGGCTATGAAGGACGGGTCAGAGAAAGCACTGTGTAAACTATGAAGTGCTGCACAACAGGAAGCCATTACTGAATGGCACAGACTTCAGAGTCCAACAGACTCACTGCATCCCTGGACAAGTCATGTCACCTCTCTGAAACTCAGTTTCTTTATCTTTACAATGAGGAAGGCCATCTGCACACCTGCAAAGTGGCTGGCAGGTGTCAACCAAATGACATGTGCAAAGTGCCTGCCTCGAAAAGAAGAGCCACTAAACAGTGGCTCTAACTGTGAATATGACAATCTCAGGACAGTCTGACATTCTCCAAGTGCGCTCACCTACCACCAGATTCTGCAGGATTTTGCACTGAGCACTGCCATTGATGTATAAATGTATCTGTCCAATCAGATCTGTCCAATCTGTCTCTACCTCTGCACCATATACATTTCCCTGTAGTGCCCAGCACAGAGAGCCTGGCACACAGTAGGTGTTCAATCAGGAGGCAGAGCCAGAGAGACTGTCCCAGAGGGGCAGTCCCTGCCCCAGCTGCCCATCAGAATTGCATGGGCTGGGTACTACCCACGCAGATCCCTGCGCCCCACCACTCCAGTCCTCCCGTAAGACTCTCCAGAGGCGAGGCTTCAGAATCCACATCTTCACAGGCTGCCCAGGTGATTCTGAGGCATGCCAAGACTGGCACCTGATGGACTGGAGGGCCCCTGACTTGACTACAGCTCTAACACTCTGACCCCCGCTTCCTGGACCACCACACCAGCTGACTCATGGGGCTCCCTGCCTCTTACTGCAACCCAGCCTCTCTGGGGACCCCCTACAGCGACGGTTCTGCAACAGGCCTTCCACGGCCCCCTCTGCCCCAGGATAAAGCCCAGATTCCTCCACCTGACAGCCCTGGGGTCCCCGCTTCTCGCTGCTCTCCCTCCCATGCCTGTGTGCCAGCAACACTCGAGTGGCACAGGGTTACTTGGGAGCCTTGATGGCTCAAACGTTCCCTGACAAGCTCTGAGTCAGCTTGCAGGCCTGGGCTTAGAGGTTGCCTTTCTCTGGGAAGTCTTCCCTGAGTCTCTCCTTTGCTCCCACCCACTCTCCAGCTCCCCTGGCTTCCCCATCACAGTGTGATCATGCTGTGTTGCCACTGTTAGGGTCTGTCTCTCCCTCCAGACTGTGGCCTCCTTAAGGACAGGGGCTATGCTTTACTCATCTCTATGCTCCTGGCAACAGACTCAGGACTGCTGGGCACAGGCAGTACGTGTGCAATGTCTCTGAATAAATGAATAAGTGAACGAATGAATGCACAGGTTCTCATCCAGGCTTTGATTTTGAGCCACCTGGGCCTTAATTTCCCCATTTCTAAAGTGAGGACTCGTCTTAAACCACTGGCTTTCAAGGGTAACTGAGGTGTCTCAGAGCTGGAAGGGAGTGGAGGCTCCTACCTTCTCTCTGCTTTCACCAGAGCAGCTCCATCAACTTTCATTTGTATTACAGGAAAGATTAAACAAAGGGGTCCAGTGCTTAAAAACCAAAGCCTTCAAGCCGCTGGACTGGGTGATGTCTAAGCACCCTTCTGGGTGTTCAGTCCTAGTGTCTGAGACAACCAGAGATCCTGGTTCCACAGAGAAGGCCCTGCCAATTGACCAAGGTCCCTGGATGACCTGCTATTGCTGGGCCCCACCAGCTCAGATAGTCCCTCTCAGCAGACAGGAATAAAAAGGAAGAAGGGCAGGAATGAGTGAGATGATGGGAGGTAGCAGGGTGGTGTGTGATATAAGCCTTCCCTAGAACATTAAAGCTTGAGTAAATTCACAGATCTGAAAAGGAGAAGCCCAAATTGTTGGGAGGGAGGGTATGGGGGTGCAAGGAGGTCTCCAGAATAACCATGCACATAGAACCCATAGACAGCTGTGGGATTAACTACCCTGGAGGTGCAGTGGGGGCCTGAGTGGGCTGGGCTCAACAGTAGGGCATGCTGCCAGAAACCCATCCCTGGCAGGATGGCTCTGACCCACCAGACCCAACCTGGCTCCATTTACCTTCTCACCCCGGTTGGAAAGTGGCCCATCCATATCGGCTTTGAGGTGGACGGGGGGCGCGGTGTAAGGCAGCCGGCAGTGCACCTGCCCGCACTGTACCTGACCTGTGGACGAGAGGATGCCTTGGAGCCCGTCCCCCAAGCTGCGCACAGGATCCCACCCTGACACCAGTTTCATCTCTGCCACTTACCTCCTGGGTGGCCCTGGGGAAGATCTCAATAGAATTGGTTGTGATGCAGTATGAAGGTCTTTATAATCATAAAGTGCTACGTGATGGCTATGTATGAGTGTCCAGCTCACTGATAAACACACACTCCTAAGTGCATATGCATTGAACACCTGCAAGCAAGGCTGTACCCCACCTATTCAGATCTTCCCTCAGCTCTTTTTACGTTCATATCTCCCAAGTATCAGCACAACTCTGCCTCCCAGAGTACTCTGCCGTCACATGTCACCAAGCTATTTACAATTGCAACCAACACCAACACTCACCCCTACCCTCCCTGTCCTCCTCTGTGCTTTATTTTTCTTCCTTAGCACTTACTATCTGACTTGTTGCAGATTTCTATTGTCTATTTGATATCATCTGTCTTTGCCAACTAGAATGCAAGCTCCAAGGCAGGAATTTTTATGTTTTCTAGATTCTAGATCTCTGTGGATTTCCAATACCTAGAATGAGGCATGGCATCTAGTGGTACTCTTTAAATATTTGTTGAATGAATTTCCGTACTCTATTCCAACATCTAAAACTTGGGGGAAAGTCTGTTTTGTGTCTGATCCAAATCTCTCATGCTTCAGTGCATTTACCACTACAGTGGAGAAGTCTATTGCCTGTCTCTTCTCTAGATTTCATTCTCTTTGGTCACAAAGAGCTTTGTACAATGGCTTGCAACTAACTGACATGTAACCTGGGACAAGTCACTGTGCCTTTCTGAGCCACAGGTCTCTCATCTGTAGAATAAAGTAGCTGTATTAAATTGGGGGTTCTTAACCTGGAGTGTTTGGGGAGTCTATAAACAGCCTAAAATTACTTAGAAACCTATGTATGTCTGGGCATTTTTCTGGGGTCTGGTTCTAACACTTTCTTCAACTTTCCCACGCTAAGACTTCAGAAAATTCAAGACTCTGTGACTTTAGTTAACTCTAAAGCAAATTGCTAGGGTCATGCAGTAAGAGTGACAGGTCCAGAGACCCCAACATCTTTTGCTTCAAGCTAGGTTCTACCTCAAGGGGAAGAAGAACAGGCACCTCAGCCCCTTCTCAATGCATCAAAGAAAGATCTAGGCGTGTGTGGTCAGAGTGCTGGCAAATACTCTGGAGGTTATGACCCCACTTCCAAGGGGGTCACCTAGTTCATTACTGACTTCATACCAAGTATTAGCTGGTAGCCCAGACCCCTGGTATCCGCAGAGCCCCTGGTATCCCCTGGCCCTTGGCACTTTTATTAAGTGTTTAACTAGCTCTGTGTAGCCTGAACATATGTCATTGTTTAGAAAAGAAAGGGAGAAAAAGTCCCTCCAACTGAGCAGATGGTTCAGAAAAGAAACAGTATAAAGAGACATGGTTTCCAACGAGCAGCCTGGTATAGCAGACAGGACTCTGCACTCCTAGCTCTGCCAATCAAAACCACTACCACAAGACCAGCTAATACTTCTCCACTACTTACTCAATGTTGAAGATTTTAAATCAGTTATCTCATTTGATGCTCACGACACTGCTTTGAAATAGATACTCGATTGTCCTTACTTTTACAGATGGGGGAACTAGTAATCAGGGAAGCTAAGAAACTGCCCAATGACACACAGCTAGTAAGTGGCAGAGCTGGGATGTGAAGCCTGGCAGTCTGACACCTAAGCCCACATTCGGTCACTACAGAATGCTGGCTCCCACTAACTTGCAGTGGGCCCTTGGTGCCTCCTCTATTCAATGGGATGGGGACCTCTTATGGTTAGAGACACGGTCAGTACAGTGTCTGGCACTGGCAGGTGCTTTGTAAGCAGCAGTTCATTCTCTGACCTACCTTATTTTTCCCTTTAACTTGGAGCCAGAAAAGGGGTGTGTGTGTGTGTGTGTGTGTGTGCGCGCGCACGTATCTGTGTCTTGTGTGTCATGCCCAGCTTTGAGGTAACAACTGATGGAAACAACCTCAAAGGGAAAGAAAGTCTGTGATGAGCACCTGTTCAGAGGCAGGTTCACTAGGTGCTCACCCCCTGAGATGTCCCTGAGGCCGCTCCCTCACTCCTCCAGGCTCCTGCTCGAAGGTCATCACACCGTGACCTGCATCTCACATAGCGTTCACTGTGTTTCCACCCACCTCCCACTCTAGAGCAAGAGCCCCGGGAGTATGGCAGCTTTGGGCTAATGCATTCACTGTATCCCAGCACAAAGAACACAACAGGCACTCAGAATATATTTACTCTTGCAACCCTGTGAGATAGGCACCATTGAAATCCCAGGTTACAGATGAGGAAACTGAGGCACAAGACAGTTAGGTGGTTTGCTCAAGGCCTTACCACCCTGGCTACCCGCACTACACTGGCTTTTTGCTTCTCCAAACACACTCCCGGTGCTTTCTGGGCCAGGGCCTGCGGCATTCTGTTCCCCATCCTCATGCCTCACTAAATCCCACCCGTCCTTCCAGTCTCAGCTTGCCGAGAGGCAGCCCCCCTAAGCCCAGCATCTCCAGAGACTCCTCCAGCACCTTTCCCACAGGAATCGCCCTGAGTAAAACCACACGCTCATCCGCCTGTTACTGTTTCATGACGACCTGAACGCAGGCGCCACAGGGCAGGGCCCCGTGCACCTGGCTCTCTCCCCAGCCGCGGGCCCTGGCGCAGAGTGCGTGCTTTGGAAGTATTTTTTGAATGACTGAATCACTTGCCTCTACTGAGGGTCGCCCCCAGTGAGTCCGAGCCGGAGAATTTACCACCTGCCCCAACCGCTACGTCCTAGTGACCTCGGAGGCCACGTCTTCACCCGCGAGGCTCCACGAGGCCTCCCCACGCCTCGGCCTCTGCCGCCCGCGCCTTGCCCCCGCCCCCGCAGGCCCAGAGGCCCGGGAATGCGGTCACTTACTCTCGATGTAGCCGTGCAGCGTGACCATGCGCGCCCGCTCGGGGCTGCTGAACGGGGAGTAGTGGATGTCGTCTGACAGGGCGGAGGGGAGGCGGGACGGGGGCGCCCCTGAGGGCGGCACTGGGTGCTGCGGTGTGTGCTTTTTATGACGCGCCCGGCAGTTTTGAAACCACACCTGGAACGACAGCCTCAGCAGCCTCAGCCTCACCGCAGAGGTCGGACGCGCCGCAGGGGGGCCCCAGGCGGGACCGCCTCGTCGCCTCCTGCAGAGGGGTGGCCACGTGCACCCCGACGCCCCGCTCCGGAGCGCAGCCCCCAGCTCGAGGGCTCGCCCCCAGTCCCCCGGCCGCGCCCCAGACCCGAGGGCCCGCCCACCCCCGGTCCCACCTGGATGACTCTCCGGCTGAGGCCGGTCATGTCGGCCAGCTTCTGCAGCGTCTGCGCGTCCGGGTTGTTGTCCTGCGCGAACTGCGCCTGCATAACCTGCGGGCGCGGGAGGGCGGTGAGGCGCTCGGCGGCCGAGGTCTCGGGACCCCGGCCCAATCACAGGCTCCGGCCCAGAGGCCACGCCCCGGCAGCTACGGCCCCTCCCCGCCACGCGCGGGTCCGGGCAGAGGGGCGGGGCCAGGGGCCCTCTCGGCCCCGCCCACGCCCCGGCCCCGCCCACGCCCGGCCGCTGGCGGCCTGCCAGGGTACCTGCAACTGCTCCGCGGTGAAGGACGTCCGCGCGCGCTTGGCCGGCTTGGGCTGACTGTCCTGTTCGGAGGGCACTGCCCCCTCCAACGTGAGGCCGTTCCCTGGGGGCGATAGAAGCGGCTGACCACGCGTCCCCATCTCTTCTAATGGCAGCCTGGAAAGGACGGGGGTGGGGGGCTTGTCCCTGGAAGGGTCAGGAGCGGGAGTTGGCTGGGAGCGGGATCCCAGGGTCCTAGTCCCTGAGCTCAGTCTTTCGGGAAGGGGCTTCTGTTTCTGAGCGTCCGCTCCGTATCGGACGCTTCTCTTTTGGTGTGCTCCTTCTTTATGTCTCACAGCCCTAAAGAGAGGCGGCGGTGCCCCCAGTTTACATTCGAGGAAACTGAGGCTCAGACAGAAGAAGGCCCCTGCCCTGGACCTTTGCACTAGGATCTGAAAGCTGGCTGACCCTAATGCCCCAAACTGAGCTCCCTCCTAGCTAAACTGGGGGAAACCAAACGCTAGCGGAGATAGCAAGCAGGTCACAGAACTGTGGTCCCAATTCTATAAGAATGAGTGGAAGAAAAAAGGTTGGAAGGATAAGGTATTGGCAGTGGTTTGCCTCTGAGGAGTGGCATTATGGAGACTCTTTACTTTCAATATTCCTGTAACTTTTGAGGATTTTCAAGTAACTTTTTGAGATGGAAGGATCTCACTATGTTGCTCAGGCTGGTCTTGAACTCCTGGCCCCAAGCTATTCTCCCTCCTTGGCCTCCCAAAGTGCTGGGATTTACAGGTGTGAGCCACCATGCCCAACCTTTTTGAGGTTTTTAAAAAACAATCATATGTCACCTTACTTCTCTAAGGTGTAATTTTGTTAACTGGGGTATATGTTAAATATTCTCTTCCCACTTATATTACTTTTACAATCATGCTAAGACACTAAACATATTCCCATTTTACTTTTTAATACTTCATTTTTCTGAATATAAAAGTAATACATGGTCCTTATCAAAAACTCAGAGAATTCCCATGAACACAAAGAAGAAAATAAAAATCACCAGTAATTCCACCACTCAGAGATAACCACTGTTCACAATTTATTGTAATTTTTTTAATTAGGAAAAAAATTATGTTGAAAAACTGAAAATTCTAAATACATATGCAGAAAAAAATCTGGAAAGGTACATACTAAAATATGAGGGGAGGTGGCATTTGGAGGGATCTTTATTTTCTTCTTTTTTAACCATCTTTTCTAATTTTTCTACCATGAACGTGTGTGTGTGTTATATTTAAAAAGTAAAACAGTAGCCAACCCTACTGATCAGTAAGAGAGAGCTGAGATCCCCAGCCTTCAAGTTCCGCTGCATGGCAGGAGCCGGAGGTCTCTGTGGCTATGAGGGCTAGCACGTAATTGGCAATACTGTGATTAGGGGTGGTCCTGGTTGGTCCAGGTATGGAAGGATGGTCACTGATGCACCATGGTAGGGAAGCTCTGGCTCCTGGGTTTCCACTCCAGCTAAACTGCTCCAAGTTCACTTGCTGCCCACTTATACCCACTTATCCCTGATCCTGGCAGGAGACAATGATGGTCGTAGTATGGCCATGGCCAGGAACACTCTGGTGGTCCCTGACTAGCCCCCAGGCTCAGGCCTAGAAATTGAGGCAGTTTGGATCATACTCCCTCCTCCAGAAGAACTGGGGATGGGGCAGACATTTTATGGTATTAATGTCATATAGGGAGCAGGACAAGGATTGGCATGCCCATTTTTTTAGATGGAAAAATGAAACTCACAGAGGTAGTCACATCCCAGTAGCGTTCTCAGCTTTATGAGGTCTGATTAAGGGGCCCCAGAGCTTGGGGATGAGGTGCTATGGTATGGTATAGTGCTCAAGAGCCTGGGCTTCGGGGTCAGGCAAACCTATTAGCATGTAACCTTTGGCAGGTCTGCCTGATTCTTCTCCTGTAAAATGGTGACAAACCAACTACTTCCTAGGGCTTTTGTAAGGATTACATGTTATAATCCATGTTACACAGAAGTTAGCACCTTCCACAGACCCTGACAGGGGGCTTACGGGAAGGGCCCTTGCCTCTGCCCACAGCCCAACCTCCACGCCTGTTCTCCAGCTCCCATTCTACCTGCGAGTCCACCCTGGAAGACCTGGACCCTGGCCCTGGGCTTATGTGTCTTGGGGAATCAGAGCCAGAAGAGACTTAGGGATCATTCTAGTCCAATATCTGTCTTTCACAGATGGGGCACTGAAGCCAGAGAGTTAAGGAAACTTCCCAGTGAGCCCGGCTTGCTGGAGGGGCTGGGCCTCTAGACTCAGAAACCTGCCCCCTTCCCCTCAGTTAGAGACCCTGGTGCAGCATGAAATCCACCCTAGGACTTCTGGCTTAGAGCTGCTAAGATAGGAGTTGGGAGAGAGCGGGCCATGTCATCTCCCCAGGACTGGCCCAAGCTGGGTTCCAGGCAGCTGGAGGAGATGAGCCCCCAGGCCCATGAGTGCTGTCCAAAGGTGGAGTGGGCTGCCCCATCGCCAGAATCTTCTCTAGGGTTCGGTGAGTGCCTCCCAGCTTTACACCATCTCCGCTAATCTATCTTTGAGAAGGTGTCCTATCCTTAGCCCCCTTTTACAGATAAGGAAAGATAGTTGCAAAGAATTGCAGTGACTTCTTACTCCCAAGCAAATGGTAGAGAGGGGAGCTCATGCTCCCTGCGCAGCCCCACCCGCGCGCTGCCTCTTGCCGATATAGGGCATGCCCAGTCCCTGGAGGAGTGAGGGCGGCTTCTGGGTTGCTGGGGTGGGAAAGGGCTGGGGGCCAAGGTGCTGGGCGGGGCGAGTTGGGTACCGTTCTCGGCGGCCCTCTTGAGGTTCTCGATCATGGTGTCGTAGTGGATGCGGCACAGCACCTTCTCCTCTACCAGGCCGAACTCCTCGCCGGTGGACAGCTGGCGCTTGCACGAGAAGCAGGCGAAGCAGGCCAGGTGGTAGGCGTTGCCGCGCGCCCGTCGCACCCAGTCGCTGGCGTAGATCTGTCGGCCGCACCGGGCGCACTTGGTCCCAAATCGGCTGTGGGTTGAGAGGGCAGGGACAGGAGTGGTGAGGTTCGGTTCAGACCGCTCATTTCTGCCTCCTACACGCCTCAAGGCCTTCCTTCACTCAGGCATCACCCTTTTCTTGGATTTACCACCCCTCTCCAGCTAAGTCCCACCTAAAAGGTGAACTGGTGAGCGATTTTTATTTTCTCCTTGGTGCTTTTTTGAATTTTCCAAATTTTCTATAATGATCACTTACATCTGTATATTTTATTAATTTGCTCATTAAAATACACCATAAGTGTTAGAAAAACATAATAGTAATAATAGGCGAATTTTTGAGCACTTATCACTTATCCAGAAAGACTCTAAGTATTTCAGGTTGATTATCCCAATTAACCTTCATTTTGCAAGTGAGGAAAATGGGAACGGAGGTAAAGTAACTTGCACAGGGTCACACAGCTTGCAAGGATAGGAACCCTAGCTAGTCTGACTCCAGAGATAACTATAAACTATAGCCCCCCTGCTGTACAGAAGCTCAGAGTTTCCTGAAAAAATAGATATTATTGGCAGGGTGACCCTGGGCAAATTGTTTAACTCCTCTGTGTTCTCATTTTCCTTGCCCGGAGCTGAACTGGAGAACAGCAATGACTACTATTTGTTTAGTGCTTTGCAGTCTACTTAGTACCCAGTTAGTCCCAGACTCTGGAGCTAATACTAATGTTAAAAATCCCAGCTTGAATGTCCCCTTGCCCCTTAAATCTTCCTTGATTCTGCTTTTCCTCTTCTCCCCCTGTTTTATAATGTGGCGATTTGGGCACAGCTGGCTCCAACACCCGGCTGGAAGCCCTTCCAGGAAGCAGCAGAGTCTGTCTCGCCCTGTCCTGAAGTCAGCCTAGCTCCTGATCCCTCGGCATCAGGCATCAGGGAAGGTTTGTTCTTTAAGTGGATGACTCACCTGTGACTCTGTCCCAACCCTGGCAGCTTCAGTTTCCTCTGGTGCACGCTATTTCAGGGAATGGTGCCATCACTCATCCAGCCCCTCAAGCTTGGAAATCTATATCACACACTCCTCCCTCTCCTCAAGCCCACATGCAGCCAATCATCAGGCGCTGTTGGTTCTGTTTCCCACGTATCTCTGGGATCCGTCTCCTCCTCTCCACCTCCACAGCTGCCCTCCTGGGCCAAGCTCCCACCCTGCACCCCTCACGGCTAGCCTCCTCCCAGGCCTCCCAGTTTCCAGTCTCACCCCTGCCAACTCATCCTCCATATGGCAGTCCAGTATGCCCATGGAATCCTGTCCCTGCTCCGCCTACCATCCTATGGTGGCTCCACTCTACCTTAGGTTCTGGTCCCAGACCTTTGGGATTTACAGAATGCAGCAAACCACATCCTCCTCAGTCCTCAGGCCCACTTTCTTTCTAACTGCAAGATCCCCTTCCCGCCCCACACGCAAGGATGAGTCCCAGCCAGCCACAATGGGAGGTCAGTCCCAGGTCTCTATGGTCTCTCCAAAGCATTTTCCCACCCCCAGGCCTTTGCGCTGATGGCTCCCATTCCCGAAATACCCACCTCCAAAGTCCCACTGCTCCCCTCACCACCCTCTCAGAACTGACCACACTGGTTTGTAAATGTCTGGTTCCTGTGTCTCCCCTTCCAACCTCTTCCACCTTCCTTGAGTGGGCGGGGTGGGGGGAAGATAAGAAGATTTGCCTGTGTCCCCAGGGCCAGCACCCTTCCACCCGGAGGGGCGCAGGGAGGAAACTGCCCAGCAAAAACGCTCTAGTTACAGCCTCACCAGCCTTGGCAAATTCCAGCAAACGTCGGTTGAGAAAATGCGGGGTTGGGTCGTATCGAGTGAAGGAGAGCGCGGAGGCTTATGCCAGGCCCTGCTCCCAGACACAACCCCAGCGCCGCTCTCTCCGACAAAGAGCGCAAGGGGATCCTGCCGCGGGTGGCGCCGAGCGCTCAGGACGCGCTGCGCACCTTTGCGGAGTCAACAGCCCCCCAAAGCAGAGGCGGGTCCCAACCTCGGAAACGCGGCTTCCCCTGGGAAGAGCCTAGCACAGCCCGTGGTCTCTGTTCCCAATCCTGCAGTAAAAGGGAAAGGAAACCACTTTGCCCAACCCAGCCTATCCCGCGGAAGGGCCGACCCGGTTCCGCCGCCCGGCAGGTGGTATCCGGATTGGGAGCACTTTCGGGCCTCGGAGCCGAGGCTGACTTTCGATTACGTGTGCTTCGGCAGGAGGGGATAGCCAGCATGCGCAGAGCCCTCGCTGCGGGCCGGGGTGAGGGGCGCAACGCCTTTATTGCACCCCCTCCGCTTCGTAGCAACCCGATGTGGCAGGGACTCAGGAATCCGTTTTTCATAAGTGGAATCGAAAGTTCAAAGAACGCAAGTGACTTGCCCAAGACCACAGAGTGTGGGGCCGGGGATGAGGTCCCCTCTGAGAGGCAAAAAATACCTCCAACCTTCGGAGCAGCCAACCTGACGATGAGGAGAGCTGGGATCCCGGGTGGATGAGCAGGAAGGGGGCCTGGTCTGGCCGCGCCGCGTCCTCACCCTGGGCCGCGGGGTCTGGAAACTCCCGCGCCCCTGGCCAGGGGCCCAGCAGAATCTGGAAGGCCGAGCGCGTCCGTAGGGAGTGGGCCGAGCCCAGAGCAGGGAAGGTCCCGGCGGGTCAAGAGCGCTGAGTCTCCGGCCTGCGGTCGGGTCTCTGCGCGCGGCGGCCTGTGCGCGGCCCCAGTGTGCAGTCCCCGATCTCCGCGCTCGGCTCTGCGGGATTCCTCGCCCTTCGCCAGGGACGCTCCCTTCGCACTCCTGATCTTCTTGCTTCACGAGTCCCAGACGCCTGAGTCCCTGACGCCCAAGTCCGTTCTGCGCCTACACAGGTAGGTCACAGTATCCCCATCCTCTTACTCCGAGACGGCCGCCATGAGTGACCTCTCAAGAACTTTCTCATCCCCTGCATGTCACCCCAAATGCCTGGAGCTGTCTCCAGCCCTAGGATCTCCCTGCGTTCCCCGTGGCTCAGCCCAGTCTACGAAATTGTCCTCGCACTTGGATCCTTGGGATGAGGGGTAGGGAGTCATTACGCAGGTTTGGTTGCGGGCGCTCCTGCAGCATGTCCCCACCCAGGACAAGGGCAGCGGCACAAAGGGCGCGAGGAGGCTTACGGATGGAGGCTCTGACCAAACGACAGACTCCTTCCCCGGCAGGCTGCGAGGCCCGAGCCGCCGGATTCCGGAAGCAGCAAAATTGGCGGCGGAGACAACGAAACTCCAAGAAGGGGGTTTTCCTGAGCTGTGACCAGAGCTCCAAAGGGATTGGGGGCGCGCCTACTGCCACCCCAGCCTTGCTGTGCGGTCCAGGCCCTAGCTGCCCCTCGCTGGATCCCCGCGCGCCTTGGGCAAAGGCGCAAAGGACTGAGGCGCTTTGGAACGGGAGAGGTGTACGGCAGATACTGCGCATCCAAGCAACTGCCAAAAGGAGAGAGTGGGCATCGCGCCGCGCCATGCCCTGCACCCCCCGAATGGGGAAGAGATGTCTGGGGTGCTCATGGTTGTGCGGAAGGAGCTGCGTGCCCCCGAGGAAGTCTGGCTCGCTTTCCAGACCTACATACCCCGTACCTAGAGGCGCGAAGTAATTATTTGTTGGATGAATGAGGCCCAACGAATGCGCCCATCGGAATTTCACCACGACCCTTCCCCAATTATTGAGCTACCCCTTTTCTGCATGAGGAAACCAAAGCTCAGCTCAGCGTGGGAACTCCAACATCGGTTAGGAAGCTGTTGAGCCCAGGGGCCGAAACTCAAACCGGAGTTCACTTATTTCGGGTTTAAGACGCTCACTTGATGGCCACAGAGAGTTCTTAGGAGGCGATCAAGGTGGGCTGGAGGCGGAGCCCTTCCTGTTGCCTCTGCTCCTTCTCTTCTAGGCAAAGCCTTAGGAGAAGAAGCCAGAAAAAACAGAACCAGCAATTAAGAGGTTAAAACGGCCCTCGCCTCGGAGGTCCCGGCCCGAGGCCCCTCCCCCAGCTCCCCTCTAGCTCCCCCAACATCTGTCCCCCAACAGCTGGCGGCTGCTGGGCCGCTCTCCGCCGCGGTGGGGGGCCTCTTCCCGGCTCCGAGCCTCCCCTGGGACCCTCGCTGTGAGGGAGGGGGTGGGGGGTGAGGTTCTCCCGCTAGAGACCGCGAACAGAGCTTGGGCTCCAGTCGCAGGGCCGGAGAAGGTTGCGGGCTTGCCCCAAGTCGTTTGGGCCAAGCGGGGAAACAGGAACTTTAGCCTCCAGGCGCTCTCGGAACCCCCACCCCCATGAACACAAGGGGAGGCAGTTAACCCTTTACCCCCCTTCCCGTTATCAGAAGGCCAGAGGGCCAGGGACCAGGGTGACCTAATCTTGGCAAAGTTGCTCCACTCACAGGCCTCTGAGGAGGTCACTCCTGCCCTAATGCTTTCAGGGCCACCCAGGGAGAGTCACACATTAGAGCACACAGTGGGTGCTCCCTGGTGAAGGCAACCAACCTGGACTGGGAATCTTAGGACTGGGGGGGGGTGTCTTTGCCATTCTACCACCCCAGGATGCAGACTCGCCTATAGAAGAGTATGGGGGTGTTCAGGGGCAAGGATGGTGGTGTCAGGCAGTGTGGGGCTTATCCAGCTTCTGCCACTTTGCTGTGTGTCCTCACGTCTCAGGGCCTCAGTCCCCTCCGCCCCAATAATGTGGGGATTATGAGAGTATCATACACACAGGTGGCCCTAAGGACTAAATGAGATAAAGCAGGTAAAGGGTTAGCCCAGTTCCTGGCTTAGAGAAGAGCCCATGCATCTGATGATGGGTATCCTCATCCCTGCCAGCGCCTCTTCCATGTTCTCTCTCATGGTGTGACCCTGGGCAGGACACTTCCCACTTTCCCAGGGCATGGGTCTGCCTAACTCTACAATGGGCAGGAAACTTCAGGAGGCCGAGGGAGCCAGGAGGGCACTGCAGATCAGGCCGTGCCCTATTCGTGGGACATGGGCTGCAGGTAGGTGGGTGGGAGGGGACTATGGGAAGCTGTCTGGGGGCAGTGGAAATGTGAATGCCCCAGAAAGAAACACTATTCCCCCCCAGCATTTTCTTCACTTCTTGGAAGAAGACAGAAAGAAAAATGATCTTAACAAGAAAGTGAAGAAATTAAAAGCCCCATCACATTTCCCTGGCTGTAGTAATTGTTTTTTCTTCCAGGAATCTCAGGGAGTGAGGAGAGGTGGGGATCTTGTTGAGCTCATAAGGGTTGGTGAGGATGCTGTTTTGAGTGTGAATTGGAGAAACTGAGGCAGAGAGTTCCAGTGGCCTAGCCAAAGACACATAGCCAGTGGAGAAGCAACCTCTCCCAACAACGCAAATGAGTCAGGAAGAGCACTGGGCCTCCCTGACTCCCCCCATGCTCTGCAGCCCCCCCTCCCTGGTGAACTTGGAGTTCCTTCCTAACCTCTAACTTCCTGAGCCAACAATGCTGGCTCTGCCAATGGAGACTGAAGGAGGGTCCATAAGAGGGTGCCAAGGAGGGACAAGATAGGGGATTGAACTGAGGAGAAACCCTTCCCTGGAGGGAAAGACCAGAGGTTAGGGGACCACAGGACCCTCAGGTGCCCCTCCACGGGGCCTTGGCCAATCCCTTCCCCCCTCCCATTAGGAGATCTTGGCTTCTGTTTGGGCAGAGTACGCCAGTCCACATCCCACCAGACCCTTGACCGTGGGCTCCAGGAACCAGAAGTCTACAGAATCTCAGCACATGACCCCTCCCAAGCTCCAGCTCTTGAGAGGGAAACTGCCTCCCAGGCCACCGTGCACGCTTGCTCCAGGAAGAGCTTCCTCATAGCAGCCACCCAGAGCCTGGGCTGCAGTGCAGCGCACACAATAGTCCCTGCCTGGCGGGCTCCGCGGCTTTTTCTTTCCCTTTTTGTGGGTTTTATTATTTTTGTTACAGGTGGGGCTGCCAGGGATGGGTTATGCCCGCAGGGAGACCTGGCAGGGGGCAGGGGGGGGTTCGAATGATCAGAAAAGCCACAATTCTACCTTCAATCCGGAGAATGTGAGCTTTTATTGTCTCCATTTTCTTAACCAGAAATCTGATTTAGTTTTGCTTTTGGGGCTCTTGTCACAGAAAAAGGATTAGTGTTCAGAACCTGCAGCCCAGCCCCATCCCACTAGGCAGGCCCCGATCCTCAAGCTGCCCGGGGAAATGCCATCACAGGCTTGTGCCCAGTATCCACCCTGACAATGGTGACAATGGCGATAATTGAGGCATTCATAACAACTGCTCATTCATACCGACTGCCATTTAGGGAGCCTTTACAGAGACTTCCCCTCAACAGCAGCTTCCTTGGCAGCCCAAGGAGACAGCCCTGGAAAGGGAGAAAGAACTAAGGGCAGAAAGATCCAGTGACTTGCCCAAGGTCACAATGGGCCTGATCAAGCCCAGTCTCCTGCCTTTCCCACAGTGGCTGCACACCCTACCCTCTACCCCGCTGCAGTGGGAAAGGGGACTCTGGAATGAGTGGAGGCTCTGGACAGTGGAGTTTTGACTAGTTGCAAGTTCTGCTAAAGCAAAGCATTCAAGGAGGCTCAGTCCAGCATGGGCAGGAGCTGCAGCTGGAGCAGCAGGGAAGAAACTTGGGTAAGTGTCGAGTAAGGCTGCCAGGTCTGTTGTCACCAGGAGAGCCAGGAGAGAGGTCCTGCCCTGACTTCCTCTATGGGGGAGCCCTGACACCATCCTGCTGGGTTCCACACGCCGGAGCCCTGAACCTGGTAGCTGATAGATCCAAGGAGCCCCCAAGCAGCAGCTGGCTTGTTTTTCTTACCAACTAGAATCAGATCTAGAGCCGGGAGGTGGCTAGACGGCAACTCTAACCTCCATTTCCTGCCCGTGGCCAAACCAACAGTCAGATGGGACTTTGGGAGGACACATCACACCCTAGTTACAAACTGCACCACAATAACCCTCTTCTGACCACACACGCAGCAGTCCACACCCACGAACACACGTTCACATCATACCCTGACCCCCTCAGTGCCCAGGTGGAGGGCCTCACGCAGGAATTGCCCCCTCAGAGGAGAGGGTGGGGGTGGGGAATGACGGGGCTTCTGAATCCCCTGAAGCCACCTCTCCCTCTCACTTCCGATGCTGGTCCAGATGTAATCCTGTCCTGACCACCTTGCACGTTTGTGTGCACACACACACACACACACACACACACACGGGCTCAACATTCACATATGGACACACACTTGAACTAAAAGACAAATGTCTGTCCATAAAGGAACACACATTCTGTCCACATACTCCTGACCCTGCTCAGTGATGCATTCCCCAGCACCATGCACGGATCCCAGATAATACAGACACACATGCCCTTTGCACGCTGAGTCCCAGGCCACCTGGTCAAGCCCTCCCTACACACACACATCCCAGCTGCACACTTTTTCACACACATCACATAAAGGAAGAGCTTTTCCTTTATTCCTCCCATGGTTTCCTCAGAGTATTCCAGCTCAAAATGCTGCAGCCTTCCTCCTAGATTCAGGGTCCTCTCTTTCCAGGTCCCTGGTGGCTAATGCCAGGGGTAAGGGGAGGGAGCACTGCCTTCCACCATATTCCCTGACTCTCGGAGGCTCTTTCTGGGGCAGGGGATCTACCGGGAAAGACTGAAGCCATGACATCTTCCCATGCAAGGATGGGAAGGATGTGTGTGGGGTGTGGGGGTGGTTATAAAGGAGCAGCTTTCTCCACTTCCTGAGAAAGCACTTGGGAACAGGCGTCCCTCCCAGGAGCCAATTCTACACCACTCTCCTCGGACTCCGCAGGCCCAGTGGTCAGGCTTCAGGCCTGGTTCATGCTTCCTGCTGGGATCAGGTAGGCAGAATGACCCTGCACGCCCCTAACCTTGCAGTGACCTCGACCCCATGACCAGGTCAGGCCCAGGGCACCATGGCTAGAAGCACCGCACAAGCAAGCGGCGAGACGCTGCAGCGCAGCAGAAGGATGCGACCGCGGGCAAGCGCCGCCAAAAGTAATCCTACCCAGGGCTCAGGGCTGCGGCGCCGACTCTCCCCTTTCCCGTCTCGGCGGCCCAAAGCCAGATTCTAGATGCGGAGAGGCTAAAGCCTAAGCAGGAAACAACAAATTGGGACGGGATCAGGCACTTGGGGGGCACACAGTAGCCCAGACTCGACATGCGACACTCAGCGACGCAGGGGTATGAGTTGAGGCGGAGCCGGAGACCGAGGTTGGGGCTTAGGAACAGGCACTTGGATACAAGATCGATCTGAGACTGTTGCGGCGCTGGCGCTTGGGGACGGACCAGACACAAACCCAGAGCGGAGCCCGGGGGAGCCAGGGCAAGAGTCCGGAGCCCAGCTCCGGGTCCGGCCCAGTAGAGACCCCTGCACAACTGGAGTCGGAGTAGGGTTGGAACCCAGAGCCGGTGCTCACTGGAAATGCAGCCAGATGGCAGCCGGGGTCCACGCGGGTCGGGGCCAGAGCCGGGGACGTCAGAGCTCAACCGAGGCGCTCGAGGTCAGAACTCGAGCCTGGGATTCAGGCAGGACCCGAGATGGATGCAGAGACGCGACCGAAACCCACTGGACCGCGGGAACAGGAGGCGGATCGCCGCCCGAACCTGCGCAGGCATCCGCTGGAGCGCTGGGTTCGCGACGCTGAGAGCCGGCGGGCTGGGCCCGCGCGGAGCGTCCGGGGTGCAATCCGGACGCCAGGGTTGTGCAGCCGGAGACCACAAGCCACCACAAGCCGCAAAGGTGACCTCCGAATGCGCCCGGGGCCTGCCCGCGGCAACACTGCGGGCCCGGCGGCCGAAGCCTACCTGAAGTAGTCCATCTTGCAGAAGATTTCCTTGTTCTTGATGTAGCAACTGTTCTGCTGCCTCAGCGACGTGCGACACACGGAGCACTCGAGGCACCGCACGTGCCAGATGAGGTTGTTGACCTAGGGAGGGGGCGGGGATGGGGGTCGGCTCAGCGGGGCCTCTTTCACGCCGGGCCCAGCCTCCAGGGCCCCATTTGCTGTCGGAGTCGCTGGAGCTCGGAAGGTGCATGTGACTCCCCTATTTTTCTTCTGTAATACTGAGGCTCAGGGAAATAGAAATAAACTCTTCCCATTTCTCAGACGGAACCCGGGGGCGCAGAGACTCTGTTTACCAAAGCCGCGCAGTCGGGCAGCAGCTGAGCCAGCATTTGGAGTAAGTGGACCAGGCGCCGGCGCTGCTCCCCTGGGCCGCATCCCACACCCCCCAACACGCTCGCAACACCTACCCCTGTCTCACCTTGAGCAGATACCGGTCCAGGATCTCCAGGCCGCAGCTGGAGCAGATGTTCTTGCCGGCAGACGGCACGGAGGAGGCGGCAGAGGGCGGCGAGCAGACAGATGGCGTGCTGGGCGTACATGGGGAGGCCCGACCCTCGTCCTTGTCCAGAGCTCCTGCCAGGGCCTCGGCGTCCGACTGAGCCTGCGGCGGGGAAGACAGGGAGAGCGCAGCGCTGAGGCGGGCGCCCAGAGTTGCCGCTGTCTCGGAGACAAATCTGGGGCCCTGCGCACCAATTGCCAACGAAATCTCCCCGGGACGCCGCGCGGTAGACTGAAGGACAGGACTCCAAGTGCCTGTTGTAGAGGAAGGGACGGTTCCAACTTTCACCACGCGCATTCCGGGTGCTGGGAGCGGTCAAAGCCCACATTCCCGGCCGGAAAACCGAGGCTCAGGGAGGGGCTGCGCCCTCCGGGAGTCCCCCGGCGCATGGTTCGTGGCTGGAAAGCCTGGTCAGGTCCCCAGGGCCGCGCCCCCAGGGGACAGGGGACCGAAGGCAGGGCCAAACGGACTCACCATGGCTGGCGGCGCGGTCCCTTCAAGACAGCGGGTGGTCGCTTTGCAGCCGGACCCTGGCTGGGCCATCACCTGGGGGCGGGGGAGGGAACGCAGGCGGCGGCGGCTGCTGGACTGGCTCCGCGCAGCCTGAGCCCAGCGCCTCCCCGCGCCTGTTATATAAACCGGCGCCGAACAATGAGTCCTAACTTTGTAGTGGGCATTTAAAGCCCTTCCCCACAAAAGCGGTGTCTCTCTAATGAAGCAATTTGAATTTGGATTGGATTTTTTCCCTCTCTCTCCCCCTTTCCCTGCACTTAACCCGTGGCTCTTGAAGTAATCGCTTAGTTCCCTTGCAATCCAAGCCTCTGAGGGGGAAAAAAAACACGCGCACACACACAAACTACCTGCAATTAGAAATTGTCGTGAATGCCCAAGATAAGAGGTAGCCAGAGTGTCAATTCCAACTGTCAATCAGTGAGATCCATCAGGCCGCCCAAAGAATTGCAAATTTGATTTTTTAATGGTAGTAATTAAAAATCGAATTTTTTCTCTCTCCACCCACCCCCCTTCCTCGCTCCCTTCTCCTCCTCTCGGCACAAATTGCAAAAAGGAGAAAAGAGAGAAAGAAAGAAAATAAAAAGGAGATGGGGGTGGGTGGTTGAGGAAAATAAAACCCGGAGCGCCGGGAGCATCGGCCCGCCCGCGCGACACGCGCCGCGAAATCGAAGCGGCTACACGGACGCGGATTCAGGCGCCTTTCGAGGGCCGGTCGGAGGGAAACCCGGAACAAAATGGGAGGAGAGAACGGGGGCGAAACCGGACCAAAAAGGGAAAAGAGAGGCATCCGAGAAGAGGCAAAAGCGCCCTCCAGCCCCCGGCGCGCCCGGACCGGCCCAGCGCCGGGATTCTCAGCGCTGCGCCCGCACAGCCCCGGCGCAGCGGCGCTATCAGCGCCTATTCAGACGGACAATACCGGCCTCGCCTCCTCTTGATTCGCCTGTGTCTTTGCTAAATCGCTTTTTGAGAAATTCCTCCAACATTTGCATAATGTGTTCCTGCTTTCCGCGACCCCCCCTCCGCGCTCGCGCGCGCTCACACACTCACACACACACACTTCGCAGGCGCACCCCCGCACCCCTCCTCCCGCCGCCGCCCGCCACCCGGCCCGGCCCGGCGGGGTCCCGGCCCCTGCCCGACCCGGCCCGGCCGCTCCCGCTCGCGCCCTGGCTCACCTGGTCGGTGGCGGGGCCGCCCTCGGCCGGCAGCCGGCAGCCCTCGGGCAGCGCCGGGGCGGCGTTCTCATGCTTCCAGTACATGGGCCGGGGAGCCGCGGGCTCGGCGGGCGCGCAGTGCGGAGAGCCGCGCCGAGGGGGGCCGCGGCCGCAGCGGGAGCCGAGGCTGCTGCAGGAGCAGGAGGAGAGCGGAGACGCCGGCCCCGTCGCCCCGCGCCCGGCCCCAGCCCCCGCCCCCGGCCCGCGCGCAGCCCCGGCCTCCCTGGCTGCCGCCGCCGCTGCCTCGGAAGAAGGTCCCGACAAACTTGGAGAGGCCCCCGCCCCCTCCTTCTCCTCCTCCTCCCCCTCCTGGTAGTCCTCCTCCTCCTCCTCTCCCTCCTCCTCTCCCTCCTCCCCCTCCAGCTGCGGCGGCGGCCGCCCTGCCGCTGGAGCCCCGCTCAGTTCAAGATGAGTCATGCGTGACCAGCCCCCTCCCCTCCAAGGGAGAGCAAGACACACACAACGAGGCAGAGACTCAGAGACATACACACAGACGCAGAGACACACAGGAACTCAGCGCTGCTGGTGGAGAGACTCAGAGACACGCTGACATACAAAGGCACCGGTGGGCACACATCCACACAGATCGCACTACCGCCGCCCGTCCCTCAAGGGGCACCCATCACCCTTAGACGCTCCCCACTCACAGGTACAAGAGGGACCCGGGGCTATACCATGTGCGGAGACAGATTCCATAGGAGGCCACACATTATGCTCTGTTGTTGCAATCCCACGCCTGGTACATTTGTGCACACAGTGATGCAGATGATTGCCTGTGCACATCATTTACACGGACACCAGGCGTCCACACATACCCTCACACACCTGCACAGGTACCTCTGCTCCATAACAACCAGAGAGTGCACCAGCTTCTAAGGACTGAATGGAACTGGGTTGGGAGGGAGGGCGGTGTTAACAAGAGCAGAGTAGTTCCCCTGAATTCTCTTGGGAGGGGTTACTTGGGACATCCTCCTTCTCTTCAGGATTTACTTAACTACCACGCAGTCTAATGTGGGTCTCACTGATCAGTGATCAGTGGTTCTACTGATAATGAGAGTGAGTGGTGGGGAAGGCAGGAGGTGCCTCCCCCAAGCACACAGACACGGAACCCTCAAACTCAAAGAGTCCTACACACACACAAGCGGACACTTGCAGCCTCAGCCCCCTTCTCCGCACACAAACTGAGCCTAAAGAGACATATGTAAATATACATCCTCTTCTAAAAACAAATATACCCACTCGGACTTAGATTCAGCCCTATAGATACCACAGCAGCCCAGTCCCAGCCCATCACACATACCATCACCTCCATAATCACCCTCATTCCCAGATGTAACCCCCCCACAATTGTTCTTACACTGTATACACATCCATACTCCAGAGAGCACAGACTTTCACAGATCTGCAAACTCACACATAACCTTATGTCCTCTGCTCAGACACCCCCAAATATGCACCCACATCCTGACAGATGGCGAAATAACCATTTACAGGCAGAAACTGCATACACACTTCCGCAGACATAGGATTCCCAACAGTCAAAGCCTCAGTCTGCATCCACACAGGCACATTCTGACAGAAGCAGATAGGCAAGGATGCCTGCACACCAGCATGATACTAAAGACCCACACCTATATCCTCCAAAGATACAAATATCTGTTCATTTACAAGCACAAAGGTACACAGACAGCTGGGGCTGCCTCCCACCCCCTCCCACCCCCTGCATTATAGTCATTTATTGCTCTGAGACACAGACATTCAGAGTGAAAAGAGTTTCTCTCTGAACCCTAATCTTTTATACTAAGAAAACAGATTGCAATGTGAAAGTATAACACACATGCACCCTCAGACATTGCCACAGAAGAAAAACCACCCCCCAACATCTCATTTGCATGTAATAATCCCAGCTACCACATCTGAGTTCATTTCATCTGTTCCAGGCACAATGCTAAGTGTTTTATAATCATAATCTCATTTTCTTTTCACAGTAATCCTCTGAGGTAGCCTCTCTCGCGGTGCCCATTTTACTGATGAAGAAACTGAGGTTCAAAGAGATCATGTCCAAAATCATGCCACATGGCTAATTGCCGGAGCCAAGAACTCAAAACCAGATTCATCTGCCATCAGAGCTCATACTCTTGACTTCTGTGCTAATCACACGTCCATGTCTCCTCTCTGCATACACACAGACACACAGACACACATACACACACACACACACACACACACATACGCACGCACATATGCACACACTTTCCACATTATCTGTGAAAAGACCTGATATGACTCCTGGCCTCACCATCATATGGGCTCAGCCTACTTTCTCATCAGCAAAATGGGAATAAAGGTGGAACCTTTTATCTCTCTTTCCTCCTCCCTCTGGGCGGGTGGGAGAATCAGGAGCTCAGTAAACGTTACATAAGGCTGCACATATGTTGGATGTGTGAGTGCAAAAGGACTCCAGGGAAGAAGACCATGAAGATGGTGCTTGCTTTTGCAAAACTTCTTAGGCAAGAGACGTGGAGGGGGCTTGAGCTGAAACAAAAGGGCAGGTGAAATTTAGATGGGTTCAGGGGAGAGAAGAAAGTATTCCAGGTAGAGAGATGGCTATAAAGGTTCAGAGGCTAGATAAACAAACTGTTGTCCTCTGATGAGGAGGAATGTGAAGCCTTTGCTCCCTGAGTGATAATGATAATAATGTAACTCCTATTTATTGAGCATTTATGTGCCAAGCATTGTGTTTTACATGTATTTTCCTCTGTGATCCTCATACAACCCTACAAAGAGGTTGTATTATTATCCTTCTTTTATAGTTGCAGAAACAAGCTTACAGGAGACCCCTTTCAAGCTCTGACACTCAGACTCCAGAACCCACACTCTTAGCTACTATACAGTTCAGCTCCTGAATTCTGATTAAGTGCTGAGATAATCAAAACTATAATAAGAGGCAGTAAAGTCAGTAGGGAAGCACAACATTCACCAACTGCCTTGGTGCCGATCTTGACACTGCCCCTTATTACTTGGGTAACCCTGGATAGGTTCTTTAGTTATTTATTTAGCCTCAGTTTCCTGATCTGTGAAGTGGGACGATAACAGAGTCCACTTCCTGTGGTTGTGAAAATTATACAAATGATCCAAGTAAAAGGGCTGAACACAGCAAACAACCAATAAACATCAGCCATCATTATGGCATGGACTAGATTAATTTTTTTGATTGTGATTCTAGTATGTGTAACATCAAATTCTTTATGGAGTAAGGCAGGGCATAAATTAACCAAGTAACCGAGTATTCTCCTGAATAACTTACCTAAGAAAGCTGCAAGAAACATTATTCCAGCCCACAGCTTGCCTGACTTCAAAGAGTACAGAAATGAAATTGCTTCGGAAAAGAAATCTCTCTCCCAATAACTCCTGAGTCTAGCAGGAAGAAGAGTCCAGATCAGAGTGCGCTTGGCAAAATTAGGGTTAGCAAATTTAGTATGTTCCATCAGGATACTCAATTTCTTCCTATCACAGACTATATGGGCAAGTCACTTTGCTTCTCTGAGCCTCCGTTCCTTACTTGCAAAATGGGGATAACAATACTTACCTTCCAGAATTGGGATGACAACTAACTGCACATTAAAAACTAATATTTTTAAAAGTGTTATAGCTTTATTCATTTATATATGCCTGAAGCTGTATCAAGCACTCTGCACATATAATGTCCTAAGCACCCTACATGTAGAACGGCATCTAGTTCTCGCTTTAATTCTTTCTTGCTCACTAAACAGGATGTGGTCATCTGGTCCTCTGAGGTGCATTTGCCATTCTCCCCCTAGATCCAAGGTTTGGGTTTGAAAAGAGGCTTCATTAGTAACTGGATAATTCTGTGGGAGGCCCCCAGCAGCGGTTCCGCCCCGCTGGGGAGTAATTCTAGGAAGGTAATGTGAGCTGGGGAGGCTGCGAACCCAGCTTCACATTTATTCGCTCTGACAGCTAAATTGGTGAGCAAGGGGGAAATCAGATGAAAGCCATTTCAGAGTAAATACTAAATACAAAATTTAAACATTTAGGTTGTGACAAATGGGGAGGGGCAATGGGAAGAGACTCAGGCAGCACCTCCTTCCTCAGCCCAGCACCCTGTCCTCACCTTGCCACCTTCCTGGGCATTTCCTGTTTGAGGGAAGGGCACGGAATGGGGTGCAGACTGCATGACCTTAGGCCAGCAATTTACCTCTCCTGGCCTCAGTGTCCTTGTTGGAAAAGTATGTGTGTTTGAATCAGATGATCTGGGAAGTGATGGAGAGAACCGTGGAGTCAGATAGACCTGAGGTCAAATCCCAGCCCTGCCTCTTCCTGGCTGGGTGAACTTGGAAAAGTCACTTAACTTTTCTGAACTTCAGTTTCCTTAACTATGGGGATAATACCAGGAGGTATTCAGAGGAATAAGTGAGAGAATCAGTGTGAAAGGGCTGTTTGGACCTCAAGGTACATTGCAAATGTAAACAATTATAGTCACTGAAAGTCCCCTTCCAGTTCTGACATCCATGGAGTAAATTCAGGTCAGCAGATGTTTATGAGGCACTTACTCCAAGCTGGGTTCCACACGAGGCCCAGGAAAGAAAGGAAGCCATCCTGGTCCCTGCATGGGCAGCCCCCAGTCTACGAGAGAGAAGAGAGCCAGCAACGCAGTGCAGTGTGACAGGTGCTACAAAGGGCACTATAGAAGCAAGGAGGAGGGGCACTTAATCTGGCTTACAGGTGGGGTATCTAGAAAGATATTTTAGCAGTGG